CAACCCAGCACTGACACCCTGACATCTTATATATTTATTATTGCAATCAAATTGACCCGGCCCTTAGTCCAATAGAAAGGACACGCCAGACTTCGAAGATTGCGAGGAAAAGTCCCTGGCCGTTGCGGGATTTGAACCCACGCGGATCTCACCACGTCACATGTGAGGCAGGTACTTTGACCACTGCGCTGCAAAATGCATCCTTTATCTTGTCAAAATAGAAACATACCACTGGTAAGTTCGTTCACTTTGCAGCCCTAAATCACATTGCACTTTTCACATATACTATGTACTGGGATCTCACCACGTCACATGTGAGGCAGGTACTTTGACCACTGCGCTGCAAATTGCATCCTTTATCTTGTCAAAATAGAAACATACCACTGGTAAGTTTGTTCACTTTGCAGCCCACATTGCACTTTTCACATATACTACTATGTACTGGGATCTCACCACGTCACATGTGAGGCAGGTACTTCGACCACTGCGCTGCAAATTGCATCCTTTATCTTGTCAAAATAGAAACATACCACTGGTAAGTTTGTTCACTTTGCAGCCCACATTGCACTTTTCACATATACTACTATGTACTGGGATCTCACCACGTCACATGTGAGGCAGGTACTTCGACCACTGCGCTGCAAATTGCATCCTTTATCTTGTCAAAATAGAAACATAGCACTGGTAAGTTCGTTCACTTTGCAGCCCACATTGCACTTTTCACAGTGTCATATGCACGAGCAGTTTGTGGAAACATCTTGATGGAAGCATGCGTCTAGTATTGACTTTCTCATGAATAGTAGTAGTCGAGTACATATAACGTTACAGTATTCTCCTAGAGTATGCCAGGACGAATACAGTAACTAGTGTTGTGGCTCTGCAGGTACGACCAGTGCGATGGAGTGTACTTTATTTCAAGACAAGAGTGCAAGGAGGTTGGCGGGAATGTATCACAAGGTAGGCTGTGGGTGCAAAGGAGTGGAGCGGAGTCTACTGGGTGATGGACAGGCAAAAGTCCTTGACCTTTTGCGCCCGTTGGTCGCGGGGAGCTTCGTCGATGACGTTGACGATCTTGGATCCGATCACCGCGCCATCCACGAGCTTTCCGGCCGCTTGCACATGCGCCTTGGACGACAACCCAAAGCCCAGCGCCAGCGGAAGCGAAATATGCTTGCGAACTACATACACACTCGTACATGAGACACTGACAAGGGAGAGAAACAAATGCATACTTCGGATGACAAATTCTTCCAAATTGACAGCCATCGCGTTGCGGGACCCAGTGACACCCGTTAAACTACATCGACGGCAAAGTGAGAAACGTGACGTGGCACAATAGTGTGCAAGTACCTGACGACGTAGCAAAATCCACTGCCCACTGCCGCGATCAACGCTACGGACATGCAAAACCAGACGTTTGAGGTTAGGAAGACCAAGATGCAGGGTGAAGCCATCGATCGATCGATCGTACGCATGCGGCTGTCGACGGTGGTGGGGGAAACAAGAGGAATGAAGCAAATGCCATGCTGCTTGGTCAAGGCACTCACTTCCGTCGCTTCTTCTGGCGGCAAGTCCACTACGATGAAGCCATCGACTCCGGCTAAATAGAGGTCGTGAGGTCATGGCTGCTAGCGATGGATAGTATATTTCTCTCACCTTTCTTGGAGTGTGGGCATACTGTGTCGAGTCCATATTGCAGGAAGTTGTTGAAATAACTGCGACAATGGTTGTTAGTAGTAATCTCGGACGAAGAGACTTTACCCCATGAGCACCACCGGCACGGTCAAGCCCTGCGCGCGAGCGTCCGACACGGTTTGCAACACATCCGCAAACGTAATCCCTTGGTCGACGCCGTTTTGGTGGGCTCTTTGAATCACAGGGCCATCGGCACCAGGGTCCGAGTACGGAATACCCACCTGGATACCAAAGTCAGCAAAGTCGCGGTTTACGATGCGTAGACAGCTGCTGTACCTCGATGATGTCCGCGCCGCCTGCCTGGCACGCGAGGAGGATAGGGATCGTGTCGGCCTTTTCCTTGTACCCGCATGGGATGAAGGTGATGAAGGCCGTCTTGCCTTCTTGCTTGCAGCGGGCAAACGTGGCGTCGATTCTACCAGCACACACATGACCACGGCAGACCTACTAGTGTTCATCTACCTGTTGGTCATGATGGCGAAAATTCGGATGTGAACCAGGGATTTCCACCAAGTTTCAAGTGTGTTTCTTTAAAATAACGAGATATTTGTATGCAAAGGTGAGTGTCCAAATAAAAATGAACACGGATCACTCTCCACAAGAAAAAGGATGTCGTGAGTCGAACGTGGCATGGTCGTCGCATCCATCCTCATGCAAGCGGTGGACTTGGCTTGACTGTACCGGTAGTGCATGCAAGAGACTGCATTAAGGCGATACATGGGATGCTGCTGCTTGCCGAAAGTCCTGCCTTGCTTTGTATGCTTCGCATTGTACCCAACGCCTGTCGAACTGCATCATGTCACCATGTGCCCGTCGGAACCTTCAGTAATCGATCGTGCTGTCAAGGGGAGTCATGTAGCTAACTGCCTGCGAAGCACACTGACATTCTGCGCGCTACACATCTGTGCCGCGATGGGGTTGCAGCATAAGGCACGACGGACAGTAGTATGTACCGCGTCCACCAAGTGTACTGTCGTACTTCGAAATCATCTCCTCGATAAACAGTCAACTGTGCTTCTATTCGACCTTTTTACGAGCGGCAATAGCTGCCATGAGAGGGTTTGCTGGACGTGCCGGGGGGGCATCGTCTGCTTCTGGTTTCTTACGAGCAGCTATCGCTGCCATCAATGGGTTCACTGGTCGAACTGGGGCTTCGTCTTCATCGGGTTTCTTTCTTGCTGCGATGGCTGCCATGAGCGGGTTCGCTGGACGAGCGGGGGGGGCGCCGTCGCCGCTGTCGTCTGGCTTTTTTCGAGCGGCGATGGCTGCCATCAGAGGGTTGGCGGGTCGTGCCGGTGGCGGGTCACTGTCGCCGTCGTCCCCGCCCTTCTTCCTTGCCGCAATGGCTGCCATGAGGGGGTTTCCCCTTCCGCGTCCCCCCATGGGGTTTGGACGGCGTCCGGTGTCGTCGTCGTCGTCATCGCCCTTCTTTTTGGCATTGATGGCCGCGAGTAGCGGGTTGCCGCCGCGTCCCCGTCCGCCCATCATCGGATGCGGGGGGCGAGCAGGGGCTGATTCATCCCCCGCGGCGGCTGCCGCCCCCCCGCCCCCTCCTCCACTCGCGACCCGTTCGGCTTTGACTTCCTTTAACAGCTCCGCCCTGGACTTGAGTTTGCGAGCCAGTGCCGGCGTCGGCCCCAAGGCCTTGAGCGTCGTTTGGCTCCGTGTCTTGAGCTCGTTGGTCACGTCCGTGACTGTCTTCATGGCCCCTCGTAGTCGCTTTTCGTCGTCAAACCGGACCTTCTTCATGCGGTCGTCCAGCCCGGCAAAGCAGTCGTCGATCGCTTCAATCATCAGCAGTACGTGATTCAACTCGTGAAACGACCGTGTGTCAGCCGTGTCTTTGTCGGGGTTGCGTCGCCCTTGCAAGTACATGCCTGAGCGTTCGGCAAACTGGTTCGACTTGAGCCGGAGTTCCTGGATCAGCTCGTCGAACTCTGCCACTTCGGCCTTCTTCCCCGACGCACTTGGCTCCCCACTGTCGAGATTTTTCTTCAACCAATCGCGCTGCTTGAGCTCGACCTTGTCGACCAGCTCGGACAGGTTCTCGCACGCGCCGTTGGCGCCCTTGACCATCACGAGCGTGTTGCCCTTGATGTGTTTGTAGTGCTCCTTCAGGTCGTTCTCGCGCTCGATGGACGCCGCTTCGTTCTTGGCGGCTTTGAGCTTTTCCAGCTCGGCTTTGGCGGCCGCGCCCGCGTCGTCGGGGGTCGACAAGGTCACATTCACTTGCTGATACACAGGTCCTTCGGGGAACCCCAGGTCCAAATTGTACGCGGGCGCGGCGTCCGCCTTGAGGGGGCACTGCTTGCCAATCATAGGGCATCCCACGCCAGGGTCATCACGGGTCGCGTACGGATGGTTGCCAGGGGGGCCATACTGGGCCACGTGTCGGTTGTACGCGCCGACTGCCGTCTTGAACGTGTCCTTGAGACTCTTAAACCACGCGTACTTGCGGCCCGCCATTTCTTCCTTTTGCTGGGCCTTCCATGTCTCGGCCACATCCCTCAGGTGCACATACAGCGCGCGGCGCTCCGTGACAGTCAGCCCCGTCACACGTAGCCCATCGAGTAAACTCGGGTGGTTCTTCTGCAAGTCCATCGGGTTCGATCGGAGGATTTCCAGGACGTTGGTGCGCTTAAACTTGAGCGCGACTTCGCGCGAGAGCTTAAGGCCCGTGGACGTCTCGATCGCTTGCAGTTGCGCCTCCGACATGGACTTGACGTCGACGGGCATCATGCGGCGGATCGCGCGGATCGCTTTTTCGTTGGCTTCGCGGTTCTCTTCCTCCCACTCGCGCTCTTTGCGGTCCTGTTCGGCCGCGTACTCGTCCGTAAGCATGAGCGCGCCATTGTACTTTTCCATGTCCTGCTCGAGCTTGAAGTACTCTTCCCGTAGCGCCTTTTGCACGGTCACGTCCGGGTGTGTCACATCCGCCGACCCAATCTCCCCCATGCGCCGCGAGATTTCCTCGACCTTTTTCTTCGCTTCTTCGTACGGAATGTCTTCGGCCACGACGATCCCTGCCTGTTGGAGTTGTTTTTCCAGCTTTAACAACCGCCTCAGAATCTTCTCTTGGTCGCTCGAGATCGTGCCCGATTGCAACATGTCGGCGGCGGACGGCTCCTTGGGCCGACTACTCGCGTCCTCTTCCTCGCGCTTCTTGATGCTGCGCTCTCGCTTCAACGTCTCCACCTGCTGCTCGAGCTCGGCCATTTTCGCGCGGTAGTCCTTGATTCCTTCGAAAAAGTGTGTGATCTGTTCATCGTCGATGCCGTCCGACACCATCTTGGCGCGTACTTCCTCCTCGCTCACTTTTTCACGTACAAACATGGTACGATAGGCCAAAAACTGGCCAAACCCGCCGCTTTGCCCGCCTACACATGACCGATCACCACCAATCATGTGTCTATTCCATTATATCTGTTCACAACCACACGCTTACCACTGGACCCGCCGAGGTTGACGGCCGTGGACCCCGATCGGATGAGCTGGCGTCGCTTCTGTGCTTCATGCAGCTCTTCTTGCGCTTTCCGAGCCGCCGCCATCTGCAGATCCGCTTGTTCGCGCGCCAACTTGGCGGCCGCCCGCGCCTCTTCGGCCGCGGCCTTTTGCCCCATCGCTTCCAACTGCGCGGCTTCAATCGCCATCTCCGCTTTCCGCCGGGCGTCTTCGATCAGCGAATTGGCCAGCTCTTGCGCTTGCTTGGCAATGCGACTCGCGTCGTCGGCCTCGGCGTCCGCCACATCAGACATTTCGTTGAGCTGGTCAATCTCGTCTTGCGTCAGCCCTGCCAAGTTGACATCGGGAAACGCATTCTTGCCTTGAACAGGTGGCGTCGTGGTTGGCGGTAGCGGCGGCAACGTGTCGGCGGTTTTTCCTTGGCTGGTCCGATTGCTGCTGCTGGTGTTGTTGTAGCTAAACTCCAACTTCATCGTGATCGACGCATGGGCTGACCGATCCGCCAAGATGAGCGGGTACGTGTGCTCAATCTTTTGCATGGGTGGAAGCGACGACAGCGGAATTGTCAGCGTCGACAGCAGCTCCGACCCGCGGAACGACCGTTCGTCAAACACGCGAATCTCCACGACGGCGTCGTCATCCAGCACCCCAAACACGACCTTGTTGTCTTCATTCCATACAGGATTCAATGTGTCCCGCACCACGGGGGTTTTGAACGTCTCTGCCCCCAGCGTCACTTCGCAGTACGGATTCAGCTACCATATAAATATATATATACCACATCATCAGCAACGAGATTTATTTATGTTGTATATATATATATATTGTCAAATCAATTGAAGCCCTCGGCAGAATCATCGAATGTCTTTGGAGAATCGATTCAAGAACCTCCAGAGCCAATCAAATAATCACGTCATGTCGAATTTCTACCAATCCAAACATTTGACCCCGCAAAACCACATATATAGTAATCGTTGTATCGTATAGTGTGTACAAGCTTAAATAGGATCAAATACCCTAGTCGATTCAAAAGCTATTTGGCGACGAAATGCCTCACGTCCAAATTTTGGTGAAATGCACTAAATATATATATATATAATAGACATACCACGTGGAAGAACGCTTTAGTGAGGTTGGCCACGGCGCACACTTCAATCTTGACGGCCGAGTGAGAGGCATCCCCGGCTTGGATGGACAACTGCGTCGTCAGCGGCGGATTCACTCCCTGAGCATGAGAAGGATGCTGATTTAGCGCAATCGACTCGCGGCGCTTGACGAAATTTCCGCCAGATGACTCGATCGATTTGAATGTTTTGTGCAGGATCGTTTCATCGCGACGGAGCAGCGACGGGTCCTGGTTGTACCCGAGCGACGATTCTTGCCGCGTGACGGCCTTGGACGCGTCGATGGCAACGCGAAGGGCCTCGAGCCAGTCGGCTTTTTCGTTGTCGGTCGTGCATGACATGACGAGCACGCGGTCGCCGGCGGCGAGTTCGAGGAGGTGGCCGCCGGGGGTCGACGGTGTCTTGACTGCAGACGGCAGCGACCGCACCGTGCACCGGCAGTTTTCAAAGTCGACAATTCCCTGGGGGATCTTGTCTCGCGCGTCTTTGAAGTACTCGAGCTTGGTTACGCGGAGTACTACGTGGCGCAGCTTCCAGTTCTTCACCACTCGACCTTGCTTGTACATCGGGCCTTCCTTGATCTTGGTCGCGCGATGCTCCTTGATGATCTCCGTGATGGACTTCTCCTCGACTTCGTGCTTGGGGATCGGCAGCCGCAACTGCTTCTCCATCGCCGACAGCTCCTGGTTCATGCGCTGGACTTCCTCCAAGTTGGCCTTTGGAATGAAATCCAACGATCGAGGGGGAAGCGTGGCCTTAATGAGCTTCTGCACTTGTTTCAAGCTCATAAACAACACCTCCGTGCCGTTCACTTTGTACACGATGTCGCCCACGGCGATGCCGGCGTCCTCGGCTTGGTCCCGCACGGCCTTGACGACGGTCCCGTCGATCCCAAGGCGCGACCCGTCGTCCAGCTGAAACCCGATCTTGTCGCCATCTAGTACGACGTTGTACGACGGGATCTTGTCGATCACTTCTTCGCCGCCTTCCCGCGTCGTCGCCATCTTTTTCAAGTGCGGCGGAATGATTTCGAACGTGAGCTCCAACGGCCGCGGCATCGTCTTGATCAGGTTGACGGCGTCCGCAAACTTCATGCCGTCCAATTTAACGCCGCCGATTTCGAGCAGCAAGTCGCCGTGGGAGATGCGCCCCACAAACAGTTCGTTCTGCACCTTGTCAATCTTGAGACCCCGCACGGTGACCCCATGCTTCGGTGGGGTGATGGCAATCCCGAGCTTTGAGTCATTGGGAAGAGAGATACGCACGATCTCCCCTTCTACCCCCATGTATCAGTAGTGTTGCGTGTCTTGGCGGCACTTCGAGTCACCACGGCCGCGTTCGAGGTTGCCAACACAAACGCCTTTATGTGGAACGCAGCCGAATTTAATTGTTTACGCACAGTTATATACAAATATCCAGTCAATTTCGACCCGACCAATTAAATGGAATCGTTTCAAACCCTCGTCACCCCGGCGAATGTGGTCACAGCAATCAATCACAGGGGCGGCCGAGTGCTGGCAGCTAGGCGCATGAAGTCCCTATGTATGACAGTTGCCTGTCGACCGCTTTCCTATGTCGACACTTACGTCATGTGCGATAGATGCTGCCGCCTTGCAGTCGACGATTTTGTTCGTAGGTCGCCGAAGACGTTCATTCGGCGCGCCTTCTCGAATTTCTTGCCCCGCTGGAACTTGGGACGAACGCTCCGAATTCGCGTTGCTACGTTAGAGCTGACTTTGTTTGCATTATCATATGAGCAGCATGTCACGATTGCACACGAAGGAAGTGGTGGTGGTGATGGTTCCAGTCCAGGTTAGATGTGGTTGGTGCGTTGCCAAATTTGAAACATCGGCGCATTTGCAACAGGCAACCAAGTCCCAGTTACTGTAGCCCTCGTGGCCAGTGCTACATTGTTCGAGGAGTATAAACGATGCATTCCTAGTTAGTCCGTCGCGTCCCATCATCGTATACGTAGTTATGGGCGCCACGAACTTTGAGGGGTGTGTGTGCGGAGATGAGGCCGGCATGTGTTCGCGGCACTCACATTATTAGCGGCGTGTTTTTATCCGGTTGTGGCGCAATGTGATGAGAGCGGTTATCCGGATACGCTACTCTCTACCTGCCACGGCGGCTAAAAGTGACTAAAATTGTGGCGCAGAGAAAACAGATTCTCCGCTGCCCCTCCCGTCCGTCGGCCGATCCCATCCAGCGTCCGACGTACAGCGAGAGCCTCGTGTCGCCCTCTCTATCTACCTTGTAATTAGGATATCTTCGCGCGCCGTCACAGCGTCGTCGAAGCCTTCAACCAGTACGTGTAGTTTGATCCGCGACCCATCATGGTATGGACGTGTGACAAGTGCGAGTACTCGAAAAACGACGATGGCGCCCCAGCCTGCGTCGCATGCACATCGCTGTCGTCGGTGCGATCCACGTCGACGTCGGTCATGTCGCGCGTGAGCTCCTTTGTGGCAACTTCGTCCAACAACCCAGAACACGACTTCGCGAAGGTGATCGTGATCGAACTGCCCGCGAAACAGAAGCTCGGCGTCAAGCTGATGCCGCCGAAGGGCGGCGTGATTGACAAAGGCCTGAGCATCGACAACATCGACAACCCGATCTTGGACGGAAAGGTCGCGCCAGGTGACTTGATTGTCGCGATTGGCGGGCAGTCCGTGGACAGGCTCGGGTTTGGCGACGCCATCGAATTGATCCGCAAGATGCCGCGTCCGTTGGCCATCTCGTTCGAGATTGTGCAGTCCCGTCGGGAACGAGTGATCCGAAAAAAACAGCGCGAAGAGTTGGAGTCCCAGGCCATGGGCGGCGACGGCGGCGCGGAACTACCGACGTACGCCGTTGTGTTTGAAGAAGGCCCGATGGGGCTCAACTTGGAGGACGCGACGCGCTTTGGCATCGACGGCGCCGTGGTCAAAGCCGTCAAAGGCCAAGCGCAAGACAACGGGATGATTTCCATCGGCGACATTGTGTGCAACGTAAACGAGACGGATGTGCTGTGCATGAGCTACAACCACGTGATGCAGCTCATCCGGGACAGCAAGGTGCCCCGAACGGTGCAGTTCATTCCAAAGGACCGCTTGGCCGACGTCCAGCGGCTCAACTCGTCGCGGCACTCGGAGCCGAGCATCAAGGGCACGTCCGCGTCGTCCGCGTTTCCGCTCAAAGCCGGAGCGAAGCCATACTCCTCCAAGTACGAAGCCAGCTCGCGCATCGTGAAAGACGTGGATGACGAGTCCAAGTCGATCCAAGACATCATTCGCGACAACAGGAGCGCCACGATCAAGAAGGGCAAGATGTTCAAGCAATCGCGCATCGTCAAGCAGTGGAAGGCACGGTACTTTGTGCTGTCCGTGTCCAAGTTGGAGTACTTTAAGAGCCCGAGCTCAACGTCGTCCCGCGGCGAGCTCGAGTTTCTGCACCACCGATGCACCGTGCGCGACATGCCCTCCGTGTCCGACATGATCAGCAAGTCGCCCCCCGTGTCAGGGGCGTACCTCCTCGAAGTTCAAGCCGATGAGAAGAAACTCATCATGGCGTGCACATCCGAAACAGAGAAGAAGGCGTGGATGGACGCGCTCAAGCTGGCCATCGACGCCTCCCGCACCATCTTTGCGCCGCGATCGGCATTCACGAGCGGCGACGGCAGCGGCCGGCTGTCCCAGTTCGACTACGACTCGTTCCCGACGCCCGTGCTGCATGTGACCGTGGTCTCGGCCACAAACTTGGCCAAAGCTGGCAGTTCAGTATGTACCTGTCTTTGCCAATAGCAAGCGATACAACACGGTGTATGTAGGTGAATGCCATGTGTGAAGTCACGTTGAATGCTGAAACGTTCAAGACGACTGTGATCAAAAACCAGCGGTCCCCCGAGTGGAAGCAAGATAACACGGTCACATTTGAAGCCAACAAGGACGACAGCGTCCTCGAAGTCCGCGTGTACGACGAGCACGGGCTATTCCGGTCGTCGGAGCTGCTATCGACGCTCACCGTGTCGCTCAAGTCGCTCCCCAACATGCAAAAGATCCAAAAGGAGTTCCCGCTCGTGCTGGGCAACCGCGCGGCGGGGGCGGTGCTGTCGCTGGCGTTTGAGTACGTGAACAAGGCCAAGGAGCACCGCGATAGGCACCGGTCGTCCAGCCGCGGCCAGCTCATGGGTGGCGACAACGAGATCGGAAAACTCAAGGCCGAGTCGCAGCAGGCGGCCGACGACGCCGTCCAGCAGGCGCGCGAGGCAGACGAAGAGGCCAAGCTGCTGTTGGCCGAAGCCAACGCCAAGGCGGAAAAGGCCGAGCTGGCCGCGCGCGCCGCCCGTGAAGAAGGACGCGCGGCGGTCGAAGCGGCGCTGCAAGAAGCCGACGAAGCCAAGAAGTTTGCCGAGCGTCAAGGCGAAGAAGCCAAGCGAAAGCTCGAAGAGGCCAAGGCGCTGATCGCTGCCAACGAACGCATCCAGGAAAAGACCAAGAGCTTGCCCAATGTGCAGTACTCGGAGGCGTTTCTGCAGTACCGCAAGATGCTGCTGGAAGGCACGTATCGCGAAGACGACGTGCGCAAGCAAATGAAGGGCGACGGCGTCGAAGATGCGTCGATCGATGCATTCTTTGCCGACTTGCAAGCGTCCGACTTAAAGATCAAGGAGTTGCAAGCCGAGGTGGAGAAGCTCAAGAACGGCCGCAAGCACACGACAAACAACAACGGCGGCGGCGGCGGTGGCAGTCGCAACCACCAGTTTGTGGAGGAAAACCTGTCGAGTGACCAAGCGCTGCTGCTCCGTCGGCTGCTAATTTTGGAGAAGCAACTGCAAAAGGCTGGGATTGCCATTGCCGAAGACATTCCGTACGAAGAAGCCAAGGCCAAAGTCGACACGATTGCCAAGCGCATGGGCGAAATCGGGTCGGCAGATGTGACGCACCCAGACCCGGCAGTTCAAAAGCAACTGCGCGAAGAGTACTTCAAGCTCGAGCAGGACATGGAAAAGTACAACACGGCGCTGATGCTCACCGACGAGTTTGCGGCCGAAGAAGAGCGCAAGGAGCGCGAGTGGGAAGAGGAAAACTACGAAGAAAACTTGGCCGCGCTCAAGGCGATCCGCCGCATGATGCCCGTGGACGTAGCCTCCCGAACCGAAGCGATCCTGCAGTCGGAACCTGGCCCGAGCGGGCTCAAGATGCCCCGCGAAAACGCCCTCAAGTTCAAGCGCACGAACGTGCTTCAGATCCTGCGCATCAACCCGGCAGACCTGGCGCGGTCCCATCCGTCGGTGCTGGAAAACCTGCGCATCACGGGGCTCAGTGTGACCGAGCGCCGCGCACTTCACGTGCACCTTAAGGACATTGCCCTCCAGTGGGAAAGCCAAAAGGGCGAGGAGATGGCGGCGCGGCGGTTGCAATTTTTCAAAACGTTAAAGGACACGTTCAAGACTGTTGTGTCGTCGTACAATCGCCACGTGGCGCAGTACGGGCCCAAGGGGCAGCATCCGTACTTGACGCGCGGCGACGAGTCGGGCGTGGGGTGTCCGCTGTTGGGAAAGCAGTGTCCATTGAAAGCGGATGCGTCCCCGGCGTACGATTTGGACCTGGGGTATCCCGACGGCGACGTGTACGTCGTGTCCAAGGTGCAAAAGCCGCAAGCTGAAGACGCCGGGGCGATGGCGTTGGCCGAAGCGAAGCGGCTGGTGGCGGAGAAGACGGCCAACGCCCGCGCCGACACGCTCAAAAAGCATTACAAAAATATCAAGCTGGTCGCCGAAGCCAACGGCGTGTGCGAACGCCTCGACTCGGAAGTGGACAAGCTCGAGACTGAGCAAGCCGCGTGGTTCAAGCGCCGATACACGCACGACCTCCAAGGCACTGCCAATGCCACGACCGTTAAAGTCGAGCTAGCCGACTTTTTGACGTTTGTGAACGAGCTACGTTTGGCCACAACTATGTTTTGCGACCGATCGGGTATGAACTTGACGGGGAAGCGTGACCCGGCCAACGATAAGCCCGACTCGCGCAGTGTGGTCGAGTGTAGCCTCGCGATTTCGTTTTGCGATGCGGTGGTCGACTGCTTTGGTGGCATCATATACCGCCTCGAACGCCTCAAGATCCAAGAAAAGCGGCTGCAGAGCACGATCCCGGCCATCCAGGCCTTGGTCACGGAGCTTCGAGAGCGAAGTGTGGCCACCATGGCCACGTTCCCCCCGCATAAGATCGCCATGCGCAAGCTCAAGCTGCGCGCGGACGTGGAAAAGGAAGTCAAGGAACAAATCAACGCCGAAACTGGTGGTGGGGGAGGGGCCGCCGCGACCCCCGCGACCCCCGCAGATACCCCTGCCCGACCCCCGAACCCCATGCTGGCCGGAATCCGTGGGGGACGAACAGGCCGAGGTCGGGGCGGTCGGGGGGCTCCGTCCGGAAATGACGATGGACCCCCCCCCGCACGCCCCGACTTCTTGTCCAGTATCCGTGGCCGAGGAGGCAGGGGCGGCGCGCCTCCACCCGGTGACGACGGACCCCCACCCGCTGGAGGACGCGGAGGAGACTTTCTATCGGCCATTCGAGGGCGAGGACGAGGCGGTGGGGACTTGCTCTCGGCCATTCGAGGGCGTGGGGGTGGGGGCAGAGGAGATTTATTTGCCGCCATTGCCAATCGGAAACAGGCGGAATAGAAGGAGCATAATAAATCTATATACGGTGAGAACTTTCGCATATAACATTACGTCGTTCATGTTGGAGATAAGATGATTTCACGTGTACACTATTTAGACCGGTATTGAATATAGTGTGGACGAACGTCCGGATATTCAATAATCGTATATCTCACTTGCACACTATTTAGACATGTGCTGAATATAGTGTGGACAGACGTCCGGATAGGTTTTGTTCATCGCCAGGATTCGACGACCAACGTCCGATGGAGGTGGTGACGGATGTCCAAGGAGGTCTGCTCGTGGTGGTTCTTGACACGAACCCCATCTATTGGATGCATGAGAAGGACTTTGGCTTGAAGCACGCGGTGCGTCGTCCGACATGAGGACGGCATCGGCTAACACCATCGTAGATTGAGAGCGTGTTGCTGTACGTGAATGCGTACCTGCTGCAACATCGCAACAATCGCCTTGTGATCCTTGCAGCTCATGCCGGCAAGAGTGTGTTTTTGTTTCCCGATCCTGATGGCGTCAACCGAACAGGCTCTGCCGAACAGTTTTCCAGTGTGAAGGAGCAAGTATGGCGAAAACTCACCGAACTGAGCAACGCACCCATCGACGAAGGTTCGCTTGTCCATCGTCGAACGTTTCACGGATGTGTATGCTAGCAAACAACAAGACGTCGCTCTCCGCAGGATTATCGCTGGCTCTATGTTGTACGTCCATCCCCGCTGCCCATGCACACGACGATTCGATTGTCCTCACACCCGTCCGTCCTTGTAGTCATCAACCGCGCCATGAACGAGTCCCGGGAACTTCAGCCTCGTATTTTGGTCGTGGACGGCTCCCCTGACTTTGCCGAGCAGTACATTTCCATCATGAACTGCATCTTTTCCGCGCAGAAGAAGCACGTGCCCATTGACTCGTGTGTGCTGGCATCGGAACCTTCGGCGTTCCTGCAGCAAGCGTCCTACCTAACGGGCGGCATCTACTTCAAGCCCAAGGAACCGCAAGGGCTGGTCCAATATTTCCTCTCCATTTGGCTCGCGGACGCCGACACCCGCCAGATGCTCAAGCTCCCCACGCAAGCGTCGGTGGACTTCCGCGCCATGTGCTTTTGCCACAAGCAGACGATTTCCACCGCATTTGTGTGTCCCGTGTGCCTCTCGCTCTTCTGCGAGTTTAGTCCCGTCTGTTCGACCTGTGGGATCCGAAGCCAGATCAAACCACTCAAAGCCAAGCGACCAATTCACCAAATCAGCTAATGGTTTTTCGGTTCATTTGTTTTAATTACGGAGTAATTCAGTCATATTAATTCGTAGACTATTCATATTAATAGTATAATCACAGCCGACAAAACTGTCCAATGGCAACGCAGGAAAGATCGCAACAATCCAGTTGACAATGAGTAGTCCGAATATGTCGGTCGAGGAGGGAGAACCGGTGCGGGCAATCATCATTGGCGCGGGTCAACGTGGTCGAACGTATGCACAGTATGCATTAGAGCATCCCGACCTCTTTAAGAGTACGTGTCATCACTCTCATGTCCCCACGCGACGTACTTACTCCCTTCCAGTTGTCGGCGTGGCAGAGCCACGCGAGTATTGGCGCAACTACGTGGCCTCGACGTGCGTAGTCCTACTGAATTCCCTCTCCATTCATCATGCACAGTGTGTCCACAATGTCGGCTCGATGTAGGTATTCCATTGACAGCCAGTACGTGTTTGACGATTGGACGGCGGCGGCAGCGGTCGGAAAGTTCGCCGACTGTGTGATCATTGCGACCCAAGATGCGCTACATGCAGGTTCATTCGTCTAAGCTGCCTCGCATCTTATGCTTGACGGTTTGGTAGACCCAGCTGTGGTGTTTGCCGACTTGGGCTACCACATCCTCCTGGAGAAACCCATGGCTGTGACCAAACCCGACTGCCTCCGCATCCACGCTGCCGTCAAGCGCAACAACGTGATGCTGTCCGTGTGCCACGTCATGCGATGCAGTCCCTACTCGCTCAAGCTGCGCGAGCTCACGCGGCAGCTGGGCACGGTCGTGAACATTCAACACATGGAACCTGTTGGGTTTTGGCATCAGGTATGTACATCGATCCATCTTCGTTGGCGAGCATCGTATGACAAGATGCCCTTCCCAGGTGCATTCGTACGTTCGCGGCAACTGGTGTCGGGAGGCCGACGCGACGTTCATGTTGATGGCCAAGAGCTGCCACGACATCGACTACCTCCATTTCCTCATGGAGAAACCTCCGCGCGCCGTCTCTTCGTTTGGATCGCTCGTGCATTTTCGACCCGTGCGTCGCCGCTGTCTTCAAGTTGCATGTCTGTTAACTATAACCTCAACAGGACCAGAAACCTGTCGGCGCGTCGACTCGATGCCTCGGGTGTCCCGTGGAAGCAGAGTGCGTCTACTCTGCCAAGAAGATCTACTTGGGCGTTCCCCCCATTCAAGTTTCCCAACCAGTTGTGAAGATCGAAGAAGAGAGCCAGCATGGACAGCATGACCCTGTAGGTCGAAAGAGCCTAGTGCCATGGTACAACGGCGACCGCAGTGCCGCGGCGGGCTACCAAGGCTGGCCATTGTCTGTGTTGGACGGTACGCAGTGGTCGGTCGTTGGAACATGCATGTTGGTTGGTTGGAATGATTGTAGCTAGATGAACCGACGGTCGAGTCCATCACGGAAGCTCTGCGCACGGGGCCGTACGGGCGATGCGTGTATGCTTGCGACAACGACGTCGTGGACAATCAAGTGGTGAACTTTCAGTTCGTGGACGGCGCCACTGCCTCGTTTACCATGGTCGCGTTCACGGAGGCCACGGTACGTGCACATGTTATTGATGTTGCAACCAACGTGTTCACGACTGGGGGATGTAGTGTGTTCGAACGACCAAAGTATTTGGCACCAAGGGTGAACTCACCGCCGACGGGTACTCGATCCGACACTTTGATTTCCTGTCCCGACTCGTCACCGAGCACATCCCGTCGACATTGTCATCCTCCAAGTCGAAAATGACAGGCCATGGCGGCGCCGACTACTTCTTGATCGAGAACTTTGTCCATGGCGTGCGAACAAACGACCCGAGCGTCCTCCTCACGGGGGCCGACGAGTCCTTGCAGTCCCATTTGATGGTGTTTGCGGCGGAGGAGGCTCGGGTGGCGGACGCCGTTGTCCATTTTTGAACATGGCAACTTGATCGAATGATAAAATATCCGGATTTATCCTCCGGATAAACCAATAATGCGATTGCCTCCCGTTCGATTTCATTTTCGCACTTTCTCCATTTGACTCAATGAGCAAACCACTTGTGGACGTACTGCTGAACCCCATTGAGCTCTTCCGCACAACTCTGCCGTCCGCACTCACGTTGGTTGCGGGTGTCGGCATTGGTTACCTCTGTGGTCGATTCCGCGCGCGTCCGTCGTTGAAGTACATCGTGTATGCACTGCCCGTCGCTTTGATGTCGATTGTGAACGTGGTACGTTGCCTTGCTGGTTCTCAGTCGCTCCGTTTTTCGAAGGAGCTGACTGGGGTGCATTGAGGATGCTATAGGTGACAGATCTTGGTGCGATCAACACGGCGCTATTTTCTATGCTGGGACACTCCTTGGGCGACAGCGTTATTGCCGTGGGCCTCACAGGCGGCATCGCCACAGGAAAGAGTACCGTGTCTGAAGTGTTCAAGAAGTTCAACGGCGTGATCATTGACGCCGACGCTATCGCGCGGCAAGTGGTCGAACCAGGAAAACCCGCGCACACGAAGATCGTCGCCATGTTTGGCAACGACGTTCTCAACGCTGACAAGACGATTAACCGTCCCATGCTCGGCAGCATCATCTTCAACAACCCAAGCAAGCGCCAGGCGCTGAATTCGTGCACACATGTACGTGATCATGCTTTACGTCCCCCCAATCCAATCCTCGAAAGCGCTCATATGTTGTGCACCTAGTACTACATCATCAAGGAAATGTTCTACCAATTGCTCTACCAACGCATCGTTAAACAGCGCAAACTCGTGATCTTCGACGCCCCCCTCCTCTTTGAGACGAAGCTGTTGCAGTATTTCTGCGGCCCCATCATTGTCGTGGCCTGCTCCGAAGCCGCAGAGCTCCAACGCCTCATGGCCCGCGATTCCCTTCCCCAAGACAAGGCGTTGGCGCGCATCAAGTCGCAAATGAGTATTGAGGTACACATGTGTCATGATCGTGTTTATCGTACACACACGCACGGAGGGCATGCATATATCTCATCACATTGCACTAATACCTTGACAGGAAAAGGTCAAGCTGGCGGACGTGGTGATCGACAACAACGGGACCAAGGAGGAGCTTGAGGTTGCTGCGGAAGCCACGTTGCGCTCCGTCGCTGCGAGCATTGGCGCTGCCAGCGAGTTTAAGCGTGTCGTGTTCCCCAAAAAAGACTAGAAGCCGTTATCGTCTCGTCGTCATATCTCCATTGAATCCCAGCCATCCATTTCTGTCGATTGAACAGTACTCGACAGACTATTCCAAAGCAGGCGTTTGCCTTGTGCGTTCTTTTAGTTTGTTCGTCGACGCAATGGACTGCAACAGCTTGGGGGGCCTAGGGTCCACCACGATAATGGACTCTGGCATCGCATTCAGGTCCGAAGTAGAGGAGGCATGCCGCTCAATGACATGCCCTACACGGAACGGCTTGTCCTTGAAAATACGCTTCTCAAACAACACGGACGACGTCTGCTGCAGCTTTAGCTTGGACGGTGGGATTGCTATCGGAGTATGGTCATGCGTGGTGTCGCTGAGGACAGAGGTGATGGCTGCCTCAGGGGAGGACGGCAACTTCCCCTGCTTGAACATGCTCGTGTCGAGCGCGTGCACGAAGAACCTCCCCGTGTCCGGATCGATCTCGGGCACCCCCGCCAGTTCCACCGGTCGGCCGTCGTCGTGCATGGTCATCCAAGCGCTCACGTCCAAGACCCGGCAGATGCAATCCAGTTCCGACCGGTAGTTGGCGTCGCTGAGCTTACCGCATGCTTCGTCCACTTGGCCGTCGCTGTCTGCCAACGCACAGAACGCCACGTCACCAGGCATGTTGGTGTGGAAGAATTTCACGTGCGCAACCGCCCGGTGGATGGCGTCCAACGTCGGATACAGCCTTTGACCGCATTTGATGATCGCTTTCCAGTGCTGTACGCACGACACGTTGCCTGTCGAGTACCCCAACTAAACAACCATGTGAACGTTACATATATATATATAGCACTAATATTGGGCTCAAGGACAATAAAGCACATATTGGGTCGAGCATGTACCCGACGGTAGGATGTGATGGAGCGTTGGCGGCGAGCTTCGGGGCGATCATAGTCTGGCGTGAGAAACGAGATCGATTGCAATGACTGGGGGGGTGGTTTCTTCAGGGGAGATTTCGCGCGGGTGGCTTTCAGAGGAGTGGTCACGTGCATGTCATTCGCGTGCAAAGCTTGCAGCGACTGCAGCGCCGCCTCCCGTCGGCATTTGAATTCGTCGGCGGGGGAGAGCTCCGGCAACGAGGCTACAACACAATTCACTCGATAGAAGGGGGGGTGAAGGGGGTACCGGGGGGCACGGGGGCGGCGACGATCGGTTCGTCGCCTTCTTCGGTGGAGGCGAGCAGGTTCACCACCGACGAAGCGCGGTTGCTATTGGAGAACCGCCTCAACAGTCGTGACGCGTCGGACTTTTTGCGCTTGCGTTGCATAAAGTGTCGAAAATGGCGTTGAACCTACCCAATCACAATGAACGGACCGTTCAGGACGACACAAAGTATGGGAAAGAAGGGGAGGACCTTGATGGACGCGGTGGTCTTGCCCATGCCTTTGCGAACTTGACTGATCAGAGTGGCCACAGGTGTGTCCAACAACCGGTCAAACTCGACGAGGTACTCTTTCTTGAGATCGTGCAGCGTCACGTCGGGCTTGACGTCGTGGCATGCGCTCTTGGCCCTTCGGTAGTCGTCTTCAGCTTTGATCGCTTCGCCAATGCAATAGTACGCCAGGCCTCGGCGGTAGTAGATGGTCGCGCGCATTGGAAGGTGCTTGGCGTAGGTCAGCGCAAGGGTGTAGTACTCGATGCACAGCCACATGTGGCCTACCATTTCACGCAAGTCAACCCATCGATCGATCGATCCGTCACAGGAGGGATACAGACACGTACCTTGGTCGTAGCACGAGGTGCCGAGATGATGCCACAGCGAAAAGTACTGGTCGTCGGAATACACAGTCGAGTGGCCAAATGTTTCGCCGAGGATGCGCGAAAACGTGTGGGTGGCAAAGAGAAAGTCGCCTTCGATCTGTGCACACCGGGCGAGCATGAGGTGGAAGTCGTTGAGGGTGTACCCCGTGGGGAGTAGCGTCGTGTCGGCCGTGACCAGTTCAATCAACTTGGTAATGTGGTGCACGGCCTCGTGCATGATCGAGTTGGCCAGTGTGACGCGGAAGAGCAGCGCGTGCCGTTCCACCACCGCGGCGGGCTCGAGCTTGGCGCCGTTGCTGGCATACGTCAAGCTCAGCGATTTAAGCAGTTCGTACGGCAGTTCGCGCTCGCCCTTCATGAATAACCCCGTCGCATATTTCACAATGAGCGACGTGTCCGCGACGTTTTCAATGTACGACAGCGCTTTGGCCAACGCCGAAGTGCACTTTTGGAGGTGGAACGCAAAGCAGTAGTTGTAGCGCGGGTACCGTTTCAGAAGTGAAAAGTGCAGGTCACCGAGCGTGTTCCAGAATCGCCACCCCACCGCCGCGTTGTCGCTGAACAAGCTCGCTTGCTCCAGCAGCAGCATTGCAGGCATTTCGGTGGCAAACGTCTCGCTGTATCGCAGCCCCAGCTCCACGCGGAGCTTGACGTCGTGCGTGTTGCGAAGCACCGCTTCTTCCAGCTCAAACACGGGGATGCGGCGAACGACTTTGACGAGTTTGGTCCAACTTGGTGACGATGAAGGACTGGCTCCTCCCTTCATGGACATGGACGCGGATCTTGACGGGGACTTGATGATGGGTGGAAATGCTGTGGATGGTGATGCCGACGAGGGGGCGATGGCCACACTCATTGTCCGTTTCTACGTTGTGTTACGCGTACGTATCACATGGATTGATTCGCGCACTGTACAGTACCTTGAAGTCGCCACTGAGAACGGGCAAGTTGTCCAACGACGGACGTCTGTCGGAGATTTGTGTAGCGCTTAGAAGTTGTGCGAGAGATGAGGTCTGAGGCTCCAGCTCTGTGGTAGGTGGCCGTAGCAACAACGTTGTAGTTCCGTCTGGATGTGGACTCAATTGAAGGTGGTTGAATATCACGTTGAAGTCATCGTGATCATTGATCGCGCCATGTTTTGGCAATTTCTTCACCGATGATTCGTCAATATGGAGGCTACACTGTAGATCCGATCCGTTAGTTGCTTGAACTTCGTACCCTGATTGCGTTGACTCGATAGTGACCACCCATGATGTGTCACCTACAATGAGTGAGAATGGTGGTGCCATGGGCATGTTCTTGTGACGCTGATTCCTGAAATACGTTAGGACTTCCAGACAATTAGGCGTTTCATTTATGCATCATCGGGTTCATAATGACACTCTTGACGACCTATTTTTAGCACTTTTTTCCAAATGGCTCGACCAAGCGCGCGACAGCATGCACTGTCATCAGCTGGTTCTGCGTTAAACGAACCCCCTGACCATCCTTCCTTGGTAGAACCGTCCCCTCGCCACCGCAGGTCGGTTGACAGGCAACAGTCCAATGCAGACGTTAGCTTTGATGCCGTCGGCTTAACCGAAAGTTCGCTCCTTCGAAAGTCTACAAGTGCCCCCCCTGGCAACAAAAGTACTTTTTCGGGGCCAAGAAAGGCATCTTTCCTTCGTGATGCCGCCCCTGCAACAGACGACGGGGGGATGCAAATCGGGGCGCTGTCTAAAGTAGAGGCCGAATTCGACTTTGCCATCATCCTCAAGCCGTCCCGTAGCGACGAACAAGCGGTCGTGGGCAACACGGACCGTCATAGGCCTAGCGTTGCACCCCCGCTCACGACAAACTTGAAAGGGTTTTATAAGAAGAATCCACTCCAAGGTACAACCGAGCTGCTTCGTCGTTTGCACAATGCAGGCCTTGAAACCAAACGCATTCGATCGTTGGACGGCAAGCAACTGCTTGTCAAGGTCAAAGCCCCCCAAGCAGTGCTGGAGGTAAACAAGAGCATATGCATTTTCCAAGGCTAGTCCGTGGCGCTACAATATTACTGCATAGTTTGGCGCTGAACAAATGAAACTCAAGAAGCAGCGTCGAGGCGACTTGATGTGGATCGAGTTTTCCAGCAGCCTTCGCGCAACGTTTGTGGACTTCGACACGACCGACGACAGCTGTGGGGTCATGCAATTCCTGGATAAGGATAAGCAGTCCATCGTGTATCACTTACTCACGTCCGACGACGGCGGAGCAGGTCTCAACGATCATAAGTACGACATACCCCTATGTCCCCCCTCGTTCAGAATGTGTCTTTATGTAGCGACTTGTTCGTGGCCATGGTGGAGCACATGATGCCATTGCACAAAGCCAACCTGGAGCATCTGCGACACTCGTGGGTGTGCTACTGGCGCCCGCCTCGTGGCGTGGCGTCGTCGGCATGTTGGGTCTCGAGGCAAGTTTCGTGCCTAGGCCGTTTGTTTGGGGATTGCTTGACTCAACCGCTGGACGACGTGGCCACGTATTTTGGGGAAAAGGTCGCGTTTTACTTTGCCTGGGTTGAAATGTACACCAAGTGGCTGGTCGCGCCGGTGGTGGTGGGCATCTTTCTCTTTGTGCAGCAAGTGCAAAGTGCCTCATTGGACCAACCGCTGGCACCCGTGTACGCGCTGTTCATGGCGATTTGGGCGTCGTTGTTCCTCGTGGCGTGGAGGCGCCGGGCGAATTCGCTGGCGTACCGATGGGGGGTTCTCGGGTACGAAGAAGACGACGAAGTGCTTCGCCCGGCATTCCGTACGTCCGCCACATCTGGTCTGACCTGGAAGCGGTGGCTCAAGTACACTGTGACGTGGTCCATCGTTGTGGGCTGCATCGCGTTGGTTTTGACCATTATGTTTGCAGCCTTTACCGCGCGAGATCGCCTCGAGGACGAAAGCGTGTCCATCCAAAACAACGTCACAGCCACGCTGCAAGACCACGAGCTGACGCTGTCGACATTGTCGTCCATCCACGACGTGCTCACGCCTCGGTTCTGGTTCTACTGCCTCGTCATGCCCATGCTGTACGGGCTGTGCATCCCCGTCTTCGATATTGCCTTTACTTGGGTCGCCACGACCATGACGACCTGGGAAAACCACGCGACCGAGTCGGCCCACCAAAGCGCGCTCATCCTCAAAGTGTTTCCATTTCGCTGCATCCACGTGTTTGCCACGCTCTACTACTACGCGTTCGCCGCCCAAAACAACTTGTTGCGAGTGGCCATTCAGCTGGCCACGTTCATGTTATCTGGGCAAATGTGGAACAACGTCGTGAAGACGGGGCTGCCACTGCTGCGTCGGCGGTACCAGCTGCACCGCAAACGACAAGCTACGTCGAAGTTGTTGGAGACAGACGTCCGGCACCTTGGTGGGGGTGTGGCGGCGGGGGGGACCAAGGGTCTGTCCAGCGTCACCGCGAGAGCCAACCACCAGTGCCTCCGCCTCGAACACGCGACCTCGGAAGTGTGGGACGAATGCAATATGTACCCTTACGATACGTTTGAAGACTACACGGAGATGCTTATCCAGTTTGGGTACGTGAGTTTCTTTTCCATTGCGTTTCCCCTGGCGCCGTTGCTCGCGTTCGTCAACAACGTCGTGTCCCTTCGTGTGGACGCGTTCAAGTTGTGCCACACGACGCAGCGCCCCCGCGCGGACAAGGCCAGTGGCATCGGAATCTGGTAGTACCCCATCCATCCATCTACCTACTACTACTCGTACAAGGGGGGATGTGGGGGGTGGTTGGTCTTACACACAGACACATACATTTCCCTGTCCATCTCTACTATAAACCAACCGCAAGACAGCTCATGCATCTTGGTCGTAGGTTCCCTGTGCTACAGATGATGTCTGTGGTCGCTGTGATCACCAACTGCCTCCACGTGGCGTTCACAACCACCCAAATCGAGCAGTACGTTCCTGCCATCTCGCCGTCGACCAAGGTGTGGGTCGTGTTTGTGGCCGAGCATGTCGTCGTCGCCATGCAGCTCTGGATCGCGTTCGTCGTGCCCGCCATGACCCCGGACATCGCCGCCAAGGCGCGCCTCGAGCGGGCATTTGCCAAACGGGCAACCGCCTCCCTCGTCACGTCGTTCCATCGCTCGTCGTGCCACGATGCCAGCGACGTCGAGCTAGTCATCTAGGACTCTTTCTACTGTACTTGCAACCACGCCGCCGTGTACTGTTGTAAACAAACAACCTGAGTCTTTGTGTTATGTGTTCATTTAACTCGAGATAGTAGTAGCGATGCATCCACTGTTGTCTCTTATACGCGTCTTCAACGCTGCCGCTTGCTTGACGGGTTGGCACAGCACGGCCCAATGTACTTGGCATCCGAATCGGCCAACGCACGCAGCCGTTCCCTATGTCGTCAAGTCACGTATTGATGTGTATATCACAAAGTGTAAACTGGATCGACATTGAGATTGAATCGACCCAACCAAAAGTAAATGTGCACAAGAATCATCGGCAGATGAAAATAGCCAATCAGATTGCAGGAATCCTTGGTCAACATTTAAATTAGTGTGTGACTTCATGTGCGATACCAATCACCACAGGACAGGTTTTTACATCCAAAACTCTGTACCCCGGTGTATTAAAAAAGTAAATCGATAGATTTGGCGAATCCCAGCACACAAGTCCAAAGTTTGCGTCAAAGGACCAATATTTACCATCCCAAGCAAGTTTTACTACGTACGCGTTCATGAGGGGGTCGCAGAGGCTGTGGACCCACATTTCGCACCCGTCGCAGCAGACAAACTCGCTCGCGTCGTCATCTTCGTACGTGCGGTTGCACACGGGGCAGTACTGCCCCTTGGCGCGCAGTTCCTTTTCCCGCGGCGTTTCCACGGGCCTAACGATCGACGGGTCCTTTTTGCTTGCTTTGGGGGTTACCCGGGGCGAGGCATCTCGAGATCGTTTCTTCGAGTCCTTCCGGTTCGAGCGCGAAGTCTGTGGCGGTGGCGGCATGGCAGCGGCGAAGTCCCCCCCGCTGTCGTCGTCGTCGTCCACAACGAGCGGCGCCAGAGAGAGATGAGGGGGGGGCAGATGAGGGTGGTGAGATTTCTTCGGCGACGAACAAGCCACCGGGGAGCCTGGGGCGGACGACGAGCTTCGCTTGGACTTTTTCTTCTTTTTCTTGGAGGACTTCTTGCTGCTCTTCTTGCGCCGTTTGTCGTCGTCGTCTGTGCTGACATAATCCACGCCTGGGACATCGTCGGACGCTGTCACATGGAGGGGGGTGGGGGTGGCGGCAGCGGCGGGGGTCGACGCGGGCACTGGGGCGGCCTTTTTCGATTTGGATGAGTCGTCCTTGGAACTCGACTTGGCCTTGTCCTTCTTCTTTTTACCCGCTTGGGCCGCTCGTACTTTGGCTCCACACGTGCGTTGCACGTAACACGCCAGGCAGATGTCTTCCTTGGGAATGACCACCTCTTGATCTGGGGCGATCGAGTCGGGAATGTCCACGACGGCGTCGACTTGCCGCCACAAAGGAGAGCTCAAGGCACCGCAATCAATGCACGTTTTGCCAAAGTCCATGGCCAACCGCTCCTCGTCCAATTGCGCGGGCGTCTTCTCGGGAACCTTTCGTTTGCGCCCGCCGCCGCGACCTGGACCGGTCTTGGGCGTGTTTTTCAGGGCGAATTCCTTGGGCGGCCACATGCGATCGCGAATGTACTCCTTTCGAATGAGCTCGCCGTCTTCGTTGCGTGCTTCATACACGTACAAGGACGAGTTGGCTTGGAGTTTCCCATCCAATCGAAAGCACTCCCGCCGTTGGATCTCCATGAGGGCATCGATTCGACGAAGGGCTGGCACGTCATGATCTCTCGTCGGTGTAGAGGACTGCCGTTGGAGTTGGTAGTGCAATGCACTGGCTTCAATCGATCGCAAATGGCGCAGGCGCTGGTACGCAGCAGAATTCCCCCATGCTGACGGAAACAGAAAGTCCACGTCGGCAAGCGAGCACTTCGGGCCTCCCTCAGCTCGTTCCTGGGCTTCGTTGGGCGGAACTACAGACACGGAGACGACGTCAGAGGTGCCAGCATCCGCGGAAGAGCACGGCGCATGTGGAGATTGTGCAAGTGAATCACACTGCGACTGCCCATCAGACATAATTATACGTCCGTGGCAGGAATATAATACCCAAAATATACTCTCCCAATATCAGTATACTTTGTTTCAGATAAATTCTACCCTTCCATTCTTGGCCTCAGATATTAAAATCGAAACCTCTAGAAACAAGTGATCGTATTCAGTTTCCAAGAATCCGGATAAGTAGTTTGGACTACTATAGTTTGAATGGTGTAAGCAATATATACTCCTATTCATCCTTCACGATTCGATGAGGCAAAACCAACTCGTTTGAGGCACACAGGTAATTGGTTAGATACACAACCACCATATTCGAGTTTACACGGTAGTCTTTGGGGGTTGGATACTTGAGCACAACCAGCTATTTTTACTTTGATTTGGAAAATCTAACAGTAAAACAGTTCATAAATATCTGTGTGTTTTTGTTATCCGGATGCTGGCTTGTTGAAGGAGATAAGATTTTTTATGGACACCTCGCTCGAGAACACACCGCCGCCGCCGCGCCGGTTCTTCGACGTAGGTCCGCTGGCGTTCAACACCGAAGATGACGAGGAAGCAAGAGTTCAGTTGATCGTGTGGGTCATCTCGGGGACATTTGTCTTAACCGCGCTTGTGATTTCCGTGAAGCTCATTCGAAACCACTTGGTGTACTTTGCCAAACCTTTGGTACAGCGCAAGATCATTGGCATTCTGTGGATGGTTCCGATCTACGCGACAACGTCGTGGCTGTCCCTTCGCTTCAAGGGATGGTCCTTGTTTCTCGACATGTTGCGCGATTGCTACGAAGCGTATGTGATTTATTTATTCCTGGCGCTGATGGTGGCGTACCTTGGGGACGGCAGCGACGACCGCGTCGTGCGGGTGCGACACGACAACCCCTATCCACGCATATGTGACGCTGTGCTGTAGATCCTACGGACGTTGCCCGACCTCCCGCACCCGTTCCCGTTCAATTACTGCAACCCACCCATCAAGATGGGCAAGCGCTTCCTCCGCGACTGCAAAATGGCCGCGATGCAGTTTGTGGTGCTCAAACCCCTCACTGGGTTTGCTGCCATCCTCTTGGAGGTAGTACTCCTTCCATCTCCGTACTGTGAACGATCCAACTGGATCAACATCGTCGTCGTGCGTAGCGCTTTGACCTGTACGGCCAAGGCCACTTTGTGGTCAACCGAGGGTACCTATACCTGTCGTTGATCATCAACGCCAGTGTCACATATGCGTTCTACTACCTCGTGCTGTTCTACTTGGCCCTGGGCACGCATCTGAAACCATTCAACCCCGTGCCCAAGTTTCTCTGTGTCAAGGCGGTGCTGTTCCTATCGTACTGGCAGAGCGTCGTGCTGGCGTTCCTGTCTCGGTTTGCGATCATCCACGAGCTCGGGACGTGGACCACCGACGACGTCACCAACGGCATTCAAAACGTGCTCATTTGCTTTGAAATGATGGTCATCGCAGTCGTGCACACGTACGCATTTCCGTTTGAAGCGTTCAAGGACGACGACATGATGTTTGCCAACGCGATGGACGGCGGCACCTTGCGCGACAGCATCCTGTCCGAGAACTTTGCCTTTGACGACGCCCTCCGCGACTTCAACGAGGTCATGCCCATCGTCCTGCCGTCGGGGTTCAAACCGTCGTCCAACTCGAGGCGCACCGACAAGCTGCTGTCGCCCCCTCGCGGCGGCAAAGTCACGAAAACCAAAGTACCCGCCTCGATCAAACATGGCCATGCTGCTGCCGTCACCCCAGAAGACGCGGATCGAGGGTGGAAACTGTAGGGATATACTCTTATGTCGTACCGTTCAAGGTGCATTTTGCTAGTATTTTTCCATCGTTTGTGCCCTGTGAGTGTCAAATGTACAACCACGGACCCCACTTTGGTGAGCAAATCCCTCCCCAAGTCTGCAAAGTACATCAGTACCATCCAAACAAGGCTTCAATAACGTTATCGTGGTCACGGAACTCCTCTTGTGGCTTTGACGCCTAAATACATATGGGGTGTCGACATAAGTTGTGTCTACCCCATCAAATTGTTAACGTTAGGTAGAAATTGTTAACTATTACTACGTATTAGGGGCCTCTTGGGAAGATGCATCACTGTAACTTCTTTATTACTGAAGCAATTTCAACGTCTCTTTCGAATAATATTTCATCAGACTACACTTGAAATGGGTTGCATTGACGTGATGCATAGCCAGGGTCATCGTCGCCTTATAAATTTGAGCGGAAGATGTGTCGATGGAAAAAATGTGTTAGTAGGTGCTAGTATCTACTAAAAAATCTTATCGGATTCACTGATTGGCTATAATTACCATTAACACATCGTTTTATTGGATGACCAAGGTTAATGGAATCATCACGCGACTTGCCCTAGGCAGGAACTTCTCCATCGATCGACACACATCGTTCTCCACCATCTACTCCGCACAACACAGTATATAATCCTTCATTAAAGCCCTTGTGTGTTATACGTCTTATTTGAGTGAAGTTACTGAACGCTTTACACGGTTTGTTCATGACAAAAGGAGCCTCAGTAGCTGACAGGCCCTGCCATTTTGTCAATATTTCATGCATTTTTTGCCCAAAATTGGATTAAATCAGTTCAAATTGAAGATATCTTGACCTGTTCTATCGTTATTACGGCTTATTTTCCTAAAAAATATCAATACAAAGTTGGAATAGCTGTCGAAAGAAAAGGCATTTTTTTGTACTGTAGTCTTTACTATTAATAGTTGAAATGCACCATAGTAATAGTTTCGAAATTTCCAATATTTCATATTTATATTACAGTTTGTATGACCGAGGTATCATCCCAAAAGGCCCCATATTAATGCACTGTAGTTGGTTGACATTGTTACTAGTATGTACTAGTAGTACGACAGTAATCAAGAAATCAAACTTCGAAGCAAGGATTCGAAGTTTCAGTCTATGGAGTGCAGTATGGGATTCGGTACGTCGGTCGAAGTAAACCTTTTCAAAAGGGAGCAATTTACCATTTGAAAGCGGTGGCACACCATGGGAAGCGATCGCAAGGTGAACCTCGTGTCATCCGAGGGAGAATCGTTTGAAGTGTCCGTGGACGTCGCCAAGAACAGCAGACTGATCCACGAACAAGTTGAAGAGGATGCGGATGAAGGCCAAGAGATCCCCCTCCCCAACGTCAAGACGAATGTGTTGATCAAGGTCATCGAATTCCTCAACTACCACCACACGACCCCCATGAAGGACATCCCCAAACCCATCACGACCAAGTTCGAAGATGTGGTCGAGAAGTGGGACTTGGACTTCATCGACCAACCGTACGAGATGATCTTCGAGCTCATCTTGGCTGCTAACTACCTGGACATCAAGGCATTGTTGGAATTGGCGTGCGCGAAAGTCTCGGGCATTATCTTTGGCAAGACCCCCGACCAAATCCGAGACATATTTGGCATCGAACAACCGTTCACCCCCGAAGAAGAAAAGTTTATTCGCGATGAAAACAAGTGGCCCGAAACGGGATAAGCAGCGTCCGTCGACGCCGCTTTTGCTGCCCCTCCTGCCGACTCTTACGTCATGACGACGTGCTTGAGGGAATGGTTATGATACATCTTACGTGATTTAGATTGCTTTTTATTGCTTAGTGTACGTGCATGTACGTGCATATGTTGCTTTGATTGCTTAGCAACTTGGTCCGGTGGCATGGATAGTAGTACTACTAGTAGTCCGCACACAGAACTACTAAGGTATATCCGGATACGGATAAATTGTTTTGAAAATTCAAAGCAAGCACGACTTGAGCATCATCATCGTTGTTGTCGAAGGCAGTTCTAGTCATGGAAGGTGGTAGCGACGACAGGTTGAAGCGCCGTCATGACAGCATATCACCTCAAACCCCAGTGGAGATCCGCAAGAAGATGCGAAGACATGCTCGCACGGTGCATGAAGAAGAAGGGGTTGACGATGTCGACGACGTCATGCCCGCGCGTCTCGCATCGAAACGGAAGGTAGAGAAACATCCAAGCAAAGCAGCAGCAGTCCTTGCCAAGGTAGCGAAGAAAGGAATCGACAGCGATGACGACGGCGAAGTCCCTTCGATCCCAGGGACAGCAAACCCCCGAGGCGACACGTTGTATCAGACGCCTCCTAAATTGAAGGCAACCCGAAGCGTGTTTGAAGAAGCCACTCTCGATCGGCATCATGCATCGTCCGGTGGCGACGCTAACTTGGTACTTCCTCCGCCGGCTCGTGTCTTGACGGAAGAGGAGATGGAGCGCCGTCGACGGAGGCGAAATTCCAAGACGTTTCAATCCCGTCGAAAGTCACTGACGCCGAATGCCAAGACCAAGCAGTACGTGTCGGAAATGTACTCTACGATCATCAAAATGTCTTCGGAAAACGTACGTATCTATATATATATATTCCTTCGACAGTTTACTTTTCCAGGAGCACAACAACCATGACAGAAACTGTAGAAAATCAACTCGAAAAACTCGTGGTCGCTGCACTTGATCGACCACATCGACGACATCTTGAGCGGCAAACGGTACGTAACGTTAGCTTGGTTTATGGCATGACGTGGCAGCGTGATGGTTGGGTAGCCACGACGACGAACCTGCCGACAGCGCCGCTGCCACCGACACGTACAACTTTCAAAAAGCGAGTTGCACGCTGGACGCCAGTGTCAAGATTTACTCGTACCGGGTCGACGACACATGGAACTCGTCGTTCAAAGTGCTCGAGAACTTGACCCGCGGCGACGAACGTACGCCGCATGCACCTTTCTCGATAATGAACTTGCCTCTCAACGAGTCGACGTAGACGACGGCGGCGGCGGCGGCGACGACGACGACGATGACGACAGAGCCGAGCGCCGGACCACATCGAAAAAGGTGTGTACCACTACAACATATATCTACTTATCATGGAAAGAGATGCTGATATACGAGGGTATGTTCCTTGTGTGTGTGTAGCTGACTGTGGCCAACACGATTGAAACCAACTTGAAGCACATCAACATGAAATCCGTCGACTTGGAGTTTCAAGTGGACCCGTTGTTTCAAAAGGTACGGTCACAATACAGAAGTTCACTAGTATACATACAGCTGTAGTGAATAATCCATGGGCCACCGGTTGTAGATGTCTCAAGCGTTCGACGAAGGCGGGGCCAAAGGTATGCTCCTGGTCAACTTGGTACGAGTACATTCGTATATGGATGTGGACGACAGCGTCTACAAGGGTACTCAAAAACTAGTCTCTAGAGTGTGCACAATGGGTGCAAGATCGTGCTCGATTCGAGCAATGTCAAGGCTGCCAGCAACACGCCGGCAGACGGCCACGCGGCGGCGGCGGACGACGGAGCCGACGACAAGTTGCCTCGCAAGATGATCAACATCTCGGGCCTGACCAAGAGACTGCGCGCATCGGCCACGGTCGTCGAGGTGTGTATTTGTGGGGTCATGTATTGTCCATTTGATATACAAATTTGACAAATTTGGGGAGGGGGTGCAATCGACCTGATTGGTTGAATTTCATTTAGAAGGTTTTGATTGGTTAATAATTTTGAGCTCATCCGAAGTAGCCAATCAAATCGATTTAAATTCCAACGCCACAACACGAAAAATTTCACTCGAAAGCCCAATATTGTCTTTGTTTTACCCAAAATTTGGACTTTTCGTGCGGAATCGCCAAATCTATCGAATGTAAATTGGTATCACACTAATTGAAGTCACACACTAGTTTGACGTTGTTTGTTGATCGTGGTAGTTTGGTGATATCTGATTGTGGGGTATATATATATATATATATATATATATATCGTTGTGCCGATGATTCTTGTGTATATTTATTTATATGGTAGTGTCGATATGCATATATTTATTCATTCTCCATGTTCGTTGTCCAGTTTAAACACACTATTGCCATATAAGTTGGGTGATGACGACGAGGATGTGCGACAACGTGTGTAGTCGTTTGACATTTGCCCGAAATTGGATCACTTTTACGACCAACTCAAGACCATGAACAACGAGTACTTTGACAAGAAGATCTCGGTGCCGCGGCTGGATCTGGCGGCGTCGAGTCACAATCGCCGCCTCACGCTGCTATCGCAAGGCCTGATTACGCCCCGCAAGACGCCTCTCAAGCCGCCAGCGAACGCGGAAGAAGACGCCAACCCCCTGGAGAATACATCGACCCTAGACATTGACCAGCCGGATTTCGGCATGGGCGGCAATGACGGCGACGACGAGATGGGCCAAGATGACAACGATGGTGCTGGGTTTGAAACGTACGCAGACGACGCCACGCAACAACCCTCGGTTTGAAGTTCAATATTCGATATGTATTGTGAACTTGGCAACTGATATATTGGCTGTAGGGAAGGAGCCAGCACGACGACAACGATAAGGATGCGATCGAGAAAACCGAGCCAGAGGAACCGGTGGTGGTGGCGAAACCGCTGAATTTTGACGACGACAACGAGACGTCGTACTTGTTGGAAAGTGCGTTGATGCGGTCGGTGAATGCCGAGCAAATGGACGAGTATTCGTTCTTCGACGCCAAAACGCTCAAGAATTGGGCAGGGCCGCAGCACTGGAAGGTCAAGCTGCCAGGCATTCGCGTCAAGAAGAGTGCTGTGGTTGGGCGCGCCGCCGACAAGCAAGGGGGGGACGACGACGACGGCGGCGGCGGCCCGAAGAAGCCCAAGACCTCGCGCACGACCACCCCCGGCAAACTCCAGTGGAGCCTCACGCCGACCCAAGTGACCCAGGCGCTGAAAAAGCCGAGGCAAGCGGCGTCGCTGGAGATTTCACCGTCGATCCTCAAGCGCAACGAGAGCAAGGCGGCGCAGCTGGTGCACCCCGTGGACATGCACATGAAAGTGGAGCGTTTTTACCAGTTGTTTACCCGTCCTCGGTCGAACGTGATGTTTGCGTCCATGATGGCGGCGGCACCACGCAAGGCTCTGCATCACTCGTTTAGCGTCAACAATCAACCCAATCTGCACACGAATCACGACGATGACAACGGGGTTGCGGACTTTGGAGGGGCTGATTATTTGCACGACGACGAGGATTTCCAAGGTGCGATTGTTTGTTTCTATATATATATAGAAACAAATATATATATATATATATAAACACATATATATATATAGAAACACATACGTATATATATAGAAACATATATATATATATATATATATTGATGGGAGCGTGGTTGGGATGTTGATGTGTGTTTGTCTTTGGTGTAGTGTCGGGGCTGATTCAACCTGATCGCATTGTGGACAAAGTGGACATTCAGTACGAACGGTTTGCCAAGCGCGTGGACGTGAAGAAGCTCAAGGAGAGCATCTGGGGCACACTGCCGTTTCAGGATGCAGCGATGGACGACCTGACGAGGGCGACGACTGACTTGGCCATCCAATCCAAAGTGTCGTTTGAAGAGCTTGTCCAGGACGTCGCGCCCAAGGTGCCGCCCAACGTAACTGTGTCGTTCTACTTCATCTGCATGCTGCACCTGGCCAACGACAAGGGGCTCGAACTGGTCGGGCAAGACGACATGCGCGATTTTCAGATCCTCCACGACCCATCCGTCCCTCGCTGAGTAGGAAGCTGTGCTATTCGTGCTAGTAAATAAATACCTCTCGTGTCTACACTGTAGTGATTGTTGTTGGGTTATCCAGGGTGTGGGGTTAAACATAATTGTAAATATTGAAATAATACTGGATAATTATAAATAACGTTACAGAAAGTAATTCATTGCACGGCGCAGGCAAATTGTAATTCGTCAGATCCAATGAAAGAATTGAGCTTATTTGATCGATGCCGCCAACACTATTGTGGTATATTCGATACGAATTTCCAGACCCCGTCGAATCGAATCTCACCGCCGAATCGAATCACGAATCGACGCTATTGGCTAATCCAATTTGGAGTGGATTTGATTAGTTCCTACAGAAAAGAAAAGTATATTCAACCAATCAGAACTCCGGCGTGATTCAATACTGATTCGACAAACCAGGCGAAGTTTAGAATTTTTTTAGCGAATTCACAATATTTTGTCGTCTGATTACTTTTTGTTGTGCATACAAGTTCGAATATTAAACGTATATTTTATGCATTAACAAGTTGCAGTGTAATTGCTGGAAATGGCGAAAAACAATTAAAAACTTGTCTTCGAATTCTGCTAGAATCTGAAAAGTACAGAATTAATATTTTCCGAAAATCGAATAAAAAAACTAGAAGAAAATATCTTCAATAATATTTTTTGGTGTCTGGCCTCCTCAGCCATTCACTCATCGTAGACTGCCGGTATGCATTCACACATCTAGCAGCCATTCGCATACCTTCAATTACCGGTATGCACAACTGTAGCTTGGTGATATAAGCTCTGGCAACGTCTGTTTGCTTCCTTCATGCAGTACCAGTACAGTGCATACGTGTAGAAAACTCCCGAAAGGATCTCCATCTTGAATGGGTCGTTGATCACAAACGTGTGCGAATGCCGCACTAGTAATACGTAGTACCAGTACAAGATGTACACCCTGGTGCCGTACCAGTATACATTATCTTGCATATTTGGTCACCTTTACTATAAACTAGTATTACTATTAATCGTAGTATCAGAAATATCATTGGATAAAATGATTCCCGAACAGTGCATTTTCTGTCAAAACAGACTTTTACAAGAAACGTGTGAAATTATATTAATATTTGGATTTGACAATTTATCGTACTTCGAAGTAGAAAACAGGGGATTTGTTTACTGTACTGTACTCGTGGACCTCTGTCAACTGGCAAAAAATATATTATCCCCAAAATCCTAGACGTGAGGTTTCCGAATGCGACTACCGACCGGTGGATTCAAACTCTACTACCACATTCCACACAAATCCATTCCATCGCGCCCATCGTCGTCATGACCTGCTGGACGTCGACGGATGCTGCTTATCCCATTTCAGGCCACTGGTTTTCTTGGCGAATAAACGCTTCTTCTTCGGCAGTGAATGGCGCTTCGATGTCAAAGATCTCACGGATTTGGTCGGGCGACCTGCCGTATATGACGCCTGAGATCTTCGCGCACGCCAAGTTCAACAACGGCGATATGTCGAGGTAGTTGGCAGCCAAAATGAGCTCGAAGATCATCTCGTACGATTCGTTGATGAAATCCAAGTCCCAATCGTCCACCACGTCTTCAAACGACGTCGTAATCGGTGTCGGGATGTCTTTCATGGGGTGTTGGTGGTGGTAGTTGATGAACTCGACGACCTTGACCAACACGTGGGTCTTGACGGCCGCGAGCGGGATGTCCACGTCGTCGCTGTCGGCGGTGTCTTCAACAACTTGTCGAACAACTTCACTCATCGTGGCGACATGAACCGGTACTTCGAAGGCATCTCCCTCGGACGACGTGAGGGTCAAATTGCGATTGCTCGTCGTCATGCTGGTATGTTCGATTTCGAGTGGGGAAAAAGAAGCTCTACGACATTGCTGTACGAGTACCATCATTCTGAAGAATTAGAAAGGGTTATTTTCCGAATCCGTTGATTTGATTGGTTGGTTTACTTTATCGCGTACGAGCAACAACAAACTTGAGCCAATCAAACCCATCGATTTCCAAAATCCTTTCAAGTTGAAAGCCCATACATATTGGTAGCAGTGCTACCAATATGTATGTGGACTCGTTCAGTTGTACTGGTACATATGCAGCCGAATGAGTCACCACCTACGAAGACAGCGGTCGCACTGCATGCTTGAAAGCACCTGAATCGCATCTACCTTTCCAGTAAACCCAGGAGGATTGAAAATGTGAATTTTCTGTAGTACACCGGTGGGGCCCAAGTAGACTATGGCAGTTTGCATGGGGCACTGATGCAAATATGGTCTTTGATTGAATCACAGACGCAATTGGTGAAACCAGCTCAACGGCATGCTGCTGCTTCGTCGTAAACACCTTCACTGTATTGAAAAGTATGACACAGAAGTGAGAGCAAGCAAAAATCAGCTACAAAGTCATTTGCACTTTAGCCATCGGTGCCGCACGTCGACCTTGCGCCGCGCGGCCATTGCTCCCCGAGCTTTTCACAGACGACGTGTCACTACACATATATATATATTCACCACACAGCTCACTCGTAATGCTCTGAAAACCACCAATAAGGCCACAAGACGTTCCGTAATACCTGCGATCGCTTCTCGCCGAAGTTGGCCGTGAATCCGTGGCTCCTCCGCCGCCCTTGGTAGATCTGGTCGATGTGGAGCCGGGTGGCAGGGCGGGAATGTGCAGGTTCAACGCTTTTACGCTGGTCTGCAACACGTCGCTCAGCTCTGGGAACTCGTGCGCGAGCTGGCCTAGCGTATAGAGCACGCCATTGTTGATTTCCTTGGCTGCGAACACGTCCAGCACGACTTCTTCGATCGTGCCGGCGGGGGCGTCTCGCTTGTTTCGGAGGTCCTTGACGAGCTTGTCCATGCGTTTCGTGACCTTGGCGACTTTGTCCTTTTCGAACTCGAGCTCTTTCGTCACTTGCGCCTGCGCCGCTGTGAGGTTTTCGTTGTGTTCTTTGAAATGGCGGTGCTGGATTTCCAGCTCTTGGATGCGGTTGTGCTCGGTTTCGATCTCCATTTGCAGCCGCTGGATCTCCTTCTTCCGCTTGAACAGCGTGTCCTCGGCCGACTTGACTTGGTCCTCCAGCTGGTTCATCTTGGCGGCGTCCTCCCCGACCATGTCTGCGCGGTGGAAGCTCTTGCGGTACTCCGTGTTGCGTCCTTCCAAGTGCTGCAGCGTCTTTGTCAGCGCACGCACTTCCTTCTCCGACACACGAATCTTGTCATCCAGCTCGTCGCCTTCGCGCTGCAGTTCCTCCCGTCGCTGGGCGGCTTTGATCACAAAGTACGCCTGGCTTCGCTCCTGGCCGTCTTGGTCGTCGGCGTTGCCAAATGGACTCGTCTTGCACAGCTGCCTCGATGACGACAAGGTCATTTTGGTGAAGCCAATCCACGAACTAGTACTACTAGCATTATCATCATCATGTGTATGTCGTACCGTTTCAAACTTGGCTTGCAGTTTTGTCACGCGCATCTCTCGGTCCCCGTACTCGACCGAGATCTTGTGCCGCTCCTCCTCGGCTGCCTTGACTTGAGCGCGCTGGACTTCGCGGTGGACCGAGATCTCCCTTTTTCGTTCGTCCATGCTCTTTTTTAGCTGAAACTCACGGTTTTCGAGCGAAAACACCTCGTCCGCACGAGAGTTGAGCAGATCCTTGAGGCGCTTCACCTCGAGCTTTTGGAGGTCCGCTTGCACCAATAGCTCCTCCTTCTCCCGCAGAATCCCGCGCAACGAGTTGGACGCGCTTTCATTTTCAAGCTCGTGCTTGGCGATCTTGGCCGTGATCTCGTCGCGGGTTTTCAGCAGCGCCTTCTTCGCACGGTCCTGCGCGGCCCGCTCGTCGCTGAGCTTCTTGCACTGCGTCTGCAGCATCGTGTACTGTGCGAGCGCTTCGTCAAATTCGGCTTGGAGCGTGTCGATCTCGGCCTTCAACGCCTTGGTCTCGTCGGCCGAGCGTTCCCCCGACGCCCGTGACACCTTTCGCTCCATCTGTTGGATCTGAAACTCTCCGTTGTACACCAATTCCTGCTGGCGGAGTGCGGATTGGTCCAGCAGCTTGATCTTGGCCTGCAGGTTGCGATTGGCCGCTTGGGCCCCCGAGATTTCCGCGATGAGCCCCGCTTCGCTCTGTCGCAGCGTGAACAGCGCCTGACTTCGACGGAACATTTGGTCCTTGAGCAGCGCAATCTCCTTGTCAAAGCGCTTCGACTCGGTTTCCATCGCGTTCAGGTCCGTCTCGGCATTCTTGGCCAACGTTTCGGCGTCCACGGTCGAATTCATGCACGCATCGAGGATCTTCTTGGTCGTTTTGTACCTGTTGCGGTTCACGTCCAGGTCTTCCTTCATCGCCTCCAAGTTGGACGCTTTGTGGGCGTTGTATGATCGCTGCTGGTTGAGCTGCGTCACGGCGCTCGTGAGTTGGTTCTTGAGCAGTTCCACTTGGTCGCGGAACTCCTGCAGCCGCGTGGTAGCTGCCATCAAATCGGCGCGGATTTTTGACTGCAACCGCTCCTTCGCCGCGATTTTCAGCTGCAGTTCGTTGTTGTCTTGCTCATGAAGCTTCAATCGGTGCTTGTGCTCTGCCAAGTCGTCCTTTTTCTCGTCCAGCGCTAGTTTCTTGGCGGCAAACGTGTCGCCGGCCTGAGCGATCTCGGTATCCCGGCGCTTCATGGCGTCGATTGTGTCTTGCCATTGCTTGACCAGCTTCTGCCTCTCTTCATGCATCGACCGGAACTCGTCCGCCGTCTTGTCCAGCTCAATCTGCTTTGCCTGGGTTTCCGTGGCCTACGTACACCACACAAACGCATGCGCCTACATTACATTTCCTGACAAAAACAACAACAATATCGCATACTTCGTTCTCGACCAACTGCTTTTGGGTCTGCAGTGCCTTGGTCAACTTTTCGATTTCCAACGTCAGCTCCTTGATGCGGGAATCGTCGGCCCGCGTATACTTTTCTAGCGCCATGTTATCGTCCTCCTTTTGCTTGGCCGCCATCGCCCACTGCTCCATTTCGTCCTGGTTCCAGTTCATTTGCATCTTAAAGTTGTCCATGTCCTCATTGCCTTTGAAGAGAAAGTTCTGAATCGCGTTCAACTTGTTTTCGATGTCGTTGTAGTCTGTCTCGAGCCGTTTCAGTTCCTGCTTCACGCGACCAGCTTCGCGGTCGCTCACTTGACGAAGGTGCTCTTCCGTCGAGATTTCTTTCAACTTGGAGTTCTGAAGGCTCTGTGTGTTGATCAACTCTTGCTTGACGTTCTTCAAGTGCTCGTCCATGATTGCGTGTCGCCCCACGGCCTCAGAGATCTCGTGCTTTACCGTTTGCATGCGCTTCTCGTTCGCTCGAATCTGAGCATGCAACTTCTTGTTCGCATCGTCTGCAAACAGCGGCAAGTCGTCCACCATCGACACGATGGGGATGTCGGCATTGCTCGCAACGTCTTCAATGTCGTCGCCTTCGTCGGCATCGTTGTTCGGCTGCGCACGGACAGAGCCGTCAGATCTCTTCCACGAGTACAAAGCCGCCGGCTGCTCTGGGGCGTCACCACCGTCGTCCTCCTTGAAAGGATCCATGCTCAGTCCCCCGTCCTTCTCCACCTGCAGAAGGTGAGTCGGTTACTTACGCGGCGGTTTCGCGCTAAATTTGACAAGCCGATGTCCTCCGGATAAACATCCGGATACAATCCGGTCAGCAAGAAAGTCATGCCCTGATTTTACACGGGTCGGACAAACCTACATCAAAGCGTCTCGGCGGAGGATGCAGCTCGCGTCCTTTATGGCAGGCGGCGCTGTTCATAAGAGCTTCTCGAACGATGTAGGTCACGTCCATGACACAGACACTACCTTACAACGTAGCTGCCTGTCGGTAGCAACACTGTGGTCCTCCCACTGGTGTACTGTATCTGGGCGGGTGAGTACAGAACCCTAATTAGAAGATTCTACCCCAGGGAATATCAGGACTTGTATCACATCGGAAGACAAGCAATGTTATTTTGCACTGCGTCGGTCCCCTGACGTTGCCGTGAAGAGATCGTGTGCCAGTTGCCTTCACGAGATCCTCTCATGAAGAGAAGCACATGGCGCTTATCGGCAACCCGGCCGCGACAGCACGACGGCGCTGTTAGCTCACGGAACTGCGCTAGGTTTAAAAGGCTGCAAAGACTACAGGAGCAGTAATTGCTGTAACGTTTTGTGTGGAACGAAAACTTGGACCCCCACCGGGACCATAGGTTTTAAATGAAAACGCAATTAACTTTGTATTTGTATGGAGATTAAAACATATGTATTTAATATGAGGGGTCCCACACAGGGGGAGTTTAAGCGGAGACCCGAATTCAAGCCTAGTTAAGCCTCGTTATAAATAGCCCCATTTTCAAGTACACTGGCTTTTGAACATTATTCACATCAGTGACTTGGAAGAGGGAGGCGCAGCACCGCATACAAGGAGAGATGATCAAGCTACCAAAATGGTTGAGCCGCAAGAAGAGCAATGCGTCGTCGATTCCTCCCGGTATCCCCCCCTCTGCTGCGATGACTGCTCCGCTGCGGTCCCAGAGCTCTCTAAGTGTGCCGACGGCGTCTCGTCTGCAAGGCAATGGCTCGACACTCCAAACGACCGCCCCTCCCAGCCAACCTCAACCAGAACCGCTGCCGTTCCAACACCCGCTTTACTCGATGGACGTCGACGGCATGATCCGATTCAAAGCGACGGGGAAACAACTCGATGAGAACGACATCGCTATCCATCAAGAAGAAATCCTCAACGCTGTCGTCGGGTACGTACAAGACACGATGAAGCGCGAGATGGGGTTCCAGGAAGTGTACCTACCTTCAAACAGCCCCCAGCACCTCAAATGTAACGTGTTTGTGTCGTCCAACTACCTCACCGCCAAGAAACTCGTGCTCTTCGTCGCCGTGTCCCGCGGCCTCTCTCCCGGCATTTGGAGTCGAGGCCTCATCTTGAACTCTGGCGTCCGTGCAGGCTCCATGCTCGCGTACTTCCGCAAGGCGCTGGACGAAGGCTACGGAATCATCGTCCCGAACCCAAACAAGAACGCAGTCATGATGCGCGATTCCAACAAGAAAGTCCCGATTCCAGGGTCGGCATCGCCCGAAGAGCACATGGACTCTGTCTGGGACGCGTTCGTGTCTCCTGCCGACGCCAAGCGCGTGTTTTTCATCGGGTACTCGTACGGGGGCGTGTTGGTCAAGTACCTGCTGCATTCCCGCGGCGAAGCGCTTCTCCGTCGGAATGGCGCCGTCGCGTTGATCGAGTCGTCCCATCGTATCGAAGACGGCGACTCCCAGACCGTCAAGTCCCTCCTGGCCCATCGCGCCATGTACTGGGAAGTGAACCACGACGTGCCCCTCCAAGCCAAAATGGACGGCGACGCGCCGTACCGCACCGGGTGCACATGCCTCTCGGCGGGCAAACCCCCCCGGGTGCTCACGAATCACTACTTTGTGGCCGCGTTTTGCATCAAGACCGTCATGGACCCCCTCTTCCGTTTCCTAAACGTCCGGTACGACCCCATCCATCCCAGACGCCAATCGAACGCGACGATCGATGCCTGGAGCAATTCTAACGATCTTTGCTTGTTTTGCGACAATCATGTAGTGATGCCACGACCTATGTTGACACGGAAAAGAACCGACCGGCCGACTTGCCGCCGCCTCCGCCTGCATCGATTGACGACGGCGGCGGCATCTACACCATGGACACGTCCACCAACACGTTCCGTCCCGACATGAAGCGCACGCAAAGCGGCAAGTTCAACAACCCTGGCAGCGAGAAACACTGCAACCTGTGCTTGTTTCACTTTACGTTCTTGGACCGCCGCCACCATTGCCGCATGTGCCATCGCGCCGTATGCAATGCGTGCTCCCGCGACCGGCTGTTCATGCCAGGTGCATCCACCGCCCAGCGCGCATGCACGGACTGCGCGTCGGACGGCAACAAGCCATTCCCGCCCCCCGAGAGTCTCCTGCGCCAGCAATCGGGCGGCAGCAACGTCGGCAGCAACTCGACGCGCGCCAACTCGAGCGGCAGCAACGCCGACCAGCTAGCCACCGACCCCCGCGAAGACCGGAACCGTTCGACGTCGTTTGGCGAAAAGCTGGCCAAGTCAAAGTTGGGCGTAGAGGACTTTGACCTGCTCAAAGTGATCGGGAAGGGTGCGTTCGGCAAGGTCATGCTCGTGCGCCGCAAGGACGATGGAACAGAAGACAGCATGACGGGCGCCACGTACGCGATGAAGGTGCTCAAGAAAGCCAACGTGTTCGCCAAGAACCAAGTGGAGCATACCAAGTCGGAGCGCCGCATCCTTCGCGACATCGACCATCCGTTCGTCGTGCGGCTGCGGTATGCGTTCCAGACCGAAGATAAGCTGTACCTGGTCATGGACTACTACACGGGCGGCACACTCTTCTTCCACTTGCGCAAGTCGCGCAAGTTTTCCGAAAAGCGCTCGCGGTTTTACGCGGCGCAACTGCTCGTAGCCATGGGGCACCTCCACGACGTCAACATTGCGTACCGCGACCTCAAGCTCGAGAACATCCTCATGGATGACAAGGGGTACGTGGCGCTGACCGACTTTGGGCTGTCCAAGGAGAACGTGGACGTGCCCGATGGCGCCAAGACGTTCTGCGGCACGGCCGAGTACATCGCGCCGGAGCTGCTCAAGGGTCTGAGCTACGGCAAACCCGTCGACTGGTGGGGCTTTGGCACGCTCTTGTTTGAAATGATGACGGGGCAGACTCCGTTCTTTGACAAGAACCGCAAAAAGATGTTTCACAACATTTTGCACCGCGACGTGATTTTCACGCCCGCGTTTTCCGAGGACGCCAAGGACCTGTTGACCAAAGTACGTGATTCAGTGGATAATGGATGGGTAGATGGATGGATGCTGATAAGTGATATATTGTGTAGCTGCTGTTGAAGGACCCGGCCAAGCGACTGGGAAGCGGCCCATCCGGCGCGCAGGAGATTATGGACCACCCGTTCTTTGCCAGCATCGATTGGGATAAATTATTGCGCAAGGAAGTGGACGCGCCGTTCAAACCCGTGGTCACGAACGAGCTCGACACAGGCAACGTTGCCCCCATCTGGACGCGAGAAACCCCCCGCGATTCCCCTGTGACGTCCCAGCAACTGGGCGCCACCGCGCGAGCCGCCAACCATTTCGAAGATTTCACATACATGCCGTCCAATGAAATGACGAAAAACGTTTGACCAACCTGATTTGGTCGCTCCGTCTGCTACCTGCCGCTGCTGCTGTCATCCATCGTGACTTGTACTCTACGTATAATATTTACAATACAAGTTATACGTCATGCATTTGTACACTGTACTGTGGGCAGAGCCATCGAGGATCCTACACTGGTCGAAATACCCTTGTCCAATTTACTGTTATTGTGCTTTGGAGTGAAATTTCATTGTGTTGTGGTGTGGTTTCTCGTTGGAATTTAAATCGATTTGATTGGCTACCTCAGATGAGCTCAAAATTATTAGCCAATCAAAACCTTCTCAATGAAATTCAACCAATCAGATCGATTGTGGATCGGTTTGGTCGGCGCGATTCGATTGC